AAAGGTGAGATTTTTTTGCATACCTATGCACATAATGTAAGAGATAAGACGTGCTGGAAATTTTGTGTCTAGCAAAATAGGGATTCACAATGGATAGGTTCTAGAAAGTTCTATTCTAATGTGAAGAAGAAAATGCCATTGCGACTTATCTTTAGCGTATACAATTTTCATAAGAAATAGTCGCTTACTATGAAAAGGTGCATAAATGGATTACACGTAACAAGACAAATCACTATTATTAGATGAACTCTGGATTAGAAAATGAAAATTTGCTCTCTGAGTGGCAACTTACCCACTGCGTCTGGAAAAACGTCAAAAGCGGATGAAATGTGCCAGCAAAACTACAAAACAAGCAAACGAACAAAACTCGAACTATTCGAAACTGCATCTGCAATCAGAAATGAGATCAGGTCTTAGGAACAAAGCTGGTCATCCTGCACGATTGCTTTAGGGAGATATAAGTAGGCTATACACAGGCACACTTTGAAACTTAAGAAGTCAGACTGAAAGTGTCAATGCAGATGTTATCTACTATAAGCCTTTGAAGGAACTAATCGAATGTAAAATTCTTCTTTTCCTTTTTGCTTCTTCCTAAGCAGTGCTTGACAAATGTTTTCTATTTTATGTATACTTCCCATTCCGTAATATTTGAATTTATACATCAAGTAAAGCAAGGAGTTGTTCAGATGTAGCTAAAAATGGTAAGATAAATTTATGACTCACTTCCGCGAAATGATCAAATCTTTTTCAAAAGAGTTTGCTCAATTCTAAATGTTCGACAGAAGATGATATCAACATTTTTTGTTAGTTCCCTTTTTTGAAGAGTATCGCGGATGTCTGTTTACAAAGCGATTCAGCAGAGGTGCTGATATTTCTCTTCGTTTTTAAAGAAATCGCACGTCGATCTTGTACTTTTAATCGTACAACGAAAAATACAACGTGCGTGCTTTTTTGTTTAAGTAAAAAAAATTTATTTAACTGCGTTTCCAAACTGTAAGCGCTTTCCGTTTTTTGACTCAGGCTTCAGCTTACCCTCTTCCGTAGTTGTACGTAAAAAAAAGCCTATATAAATGAGCGGTATATAAATGCCATCATCAAGCCTTCAATATGCCCAGATGTTTTTGTTATTCACGTTGATCTCCTGTCGCCTTACTAATACTCTCAGTTTATTGATAATATTGCAGAATTCCAGCAAGGCATATGTCTCCATACGCAATCTTCGTTCTTCTGGCACTCCTAGCTATCACCTCTGCAGAGGAGAAGCAGTCAGATTTCTACCAGATCACGAGTGGGAACATAAGTGTCAATGGACGTAAGTTTTTGTGCAGAACTCAATCATTTTTTGCCAAGTCCTTTCCTTAAAGGTTAGAATCAAATGTTGAAAAGCAAACGTACTCAATTCATGAGCATTAATCATCACGTCTAGAGAGCTCCATGACATGAATGTGAAATCCAGCGATCCAAATGTGCTTTATTTCTGTCAACTGACTATCAAGTGCAGAAGTCAAATCTTATCTTTGCTTTTCAAATAGCACTTTATAAGGTCTAACTTTCTCTACTTGAGGTTTACCTTCCGATTT